AGAGTTTTGGGGAATATCGAGGTTTGGCCAGAGTGCCGCCTACCTCTGGGACCCAGAGCTCCGAGCCCACCTGTTCGATTCAACTATTCTCACGCTCTGCTACGTAACAGGGACGTGGCCTGACTCTTGGCTACGTCAAAGGCTCTCCGAACAGCCCACAGAGCGCTGGGACGACGTTTTCTGAAGTACAACCGACGCACTCAACATCTCGGACTTTGCAGTTAAGATATGAGATCAATGTCTTATTCGCGATCCAGCGGAATACGTCTCTAAGGCAAGGCATCGATGGGCTGGTCATATATTGAGAAGGACAAACGACAGATGGACATTAAGAACTCAGGAATGGATTCCTCGCGAAGAACGGAGGCCACCGACCAGATGGGCTGACATTTTCGTGGCACGGATGGACCAGTTGAATTTTCAGTTGGTAACGAGTAATGGACCTGGACCTCGCGAACGTCGCCGGGGCACTTGAATACCAACATCGTGGACGACCCTAGCGAGAGACAGAAACGGATGAAAACAGTGCTGTGGCCTGAACGACAAGTGAAGACAGGCCATCTAAGTATCTAAGTACCTAAGCAAGTAAGTACAGAGCTAGGTTATCCTCAACACTCGTACTAATTTGCTTCTCACAGGAAAATCTTTGAAAAGACAACTATAGAAGTTGTTAGTGAATTTGATTGAGACTCATCTCGTGTATACTTGCTAATTTATCCTCAAAAGTACCAAAAATCTCCGCAAAATCTTGTCGTATGCGAATTTACGAATTCAACCCGTTACATTTTGTGGATTGAAAAGTTGAGCTACAGTGAGATTTATTACTGCAGCTTCGATCTGAGAGAAAAATTTCTTGACGTTAGAAAAGGACTTGGAGTTCACAAGAATCAAAGGAATCCCGGTGGTCTAGAGAAGGTTGATATTTACAAATCTCCTCTTTAACTGCACAAGCAACTTATGCCTGAAGAATATTGTCTCATCACACTATATGCAGCCTTCCCGATCAATTTTCTATTAAAGGTCACTTACGTATCACCATTGTTGGACCTTCGGGCTACTTCTAGAGCATCCATCGCTAGCTGTTTCGTCATGTCGTTCATCTGACGAATGTATCTCATTGATGCAATCATCTCCTTTTGTCCACCATCTTCATTTGTCTAAAGTACCAAGCTACGTCTCCCAAATACGAGTATAATAGATGCATACTCTGAAATGATTTAAAAAATAGGTTTAAGGTGATTCTTACGGTGTAGGGTGGCGGCGGTGCTACTTCAACCTCTATAGGCTCGCTAGAGATTTGACCAGTTTTACGATATCTGTCAATTACTGTCAGCATACGCTTTTTTGGCCCATATGCTATGCCCATTTCTTCAAAGTCCTTTAAAAATTCGATTCTCAGAAGTATTTTTGTCAAAATTTTCGCAGACCTTTTCAGTCAAATCGAAGAACAAATTCAGATCGATGTTCTCCGCCTTGAATTTGTCAACAAGTCGAAGTAAATTCATTTCTTCTAGCAGCTCCTCTAACGTACGTGGTCGTGCACTAGTTCGAGGTGCTTCTGCATAAAAAATTTCACTTTTTTAGAGTTCAGAAAAGACGGATAGAACTTACCTGGCGTAAATCCCGGATTTCCACGTCTCTGCATGTGTTCATTAATCAACTGCAAGATTTTTGGAGATTCAGACGCTATAGCATGGCAATCTTCTCCGCGTGCATTTTTTATAAATGGATCTCCTCCCTAAATGGTTTGGATGGCCTTGAATGCTAATTAAGCTTTGCCTGGAGTCACTCGCAACTTTCTACATGCGTAAAGAAAGAAAGGGAAGGTTAAGACTCTAAAAAATGTTTTATTTTGTTCTATACTCACACCTAATGCATTTAGGCAATTTTTGCCCTGATATGGAAGTTTTTTAAACGTTGTTTCTGTAAACTTTCTTAAGAAAGTAGTATTTCTAAGTAAAAAAAAA